AGGCACAGATTTCATTTTCTGACCCCAAAATGACTCCCCCAAAATTATTCCACAAGTATAGAATTTTGTGAGAAAGGTAAGTCTTCTTTTCAATTTTCTATTGTAAAAGATATGAAATGGTTAATATTTTGCATTAGAAATGTTTGTTTAAAATACGTCTAGTAAAACTTATGCAAACACCACCTTTCAGACTGGCAGAGCGACTGCGGGCAAAGCTGCCGGACGCTGAGCCCACTGAGCTGGAGGCCCTGCTGGAGAAGCGCTCTGACTTCGCCTCCAAGTGCTGCTTTGTGAACTCACCTCCTCTCTACTGTGACTCACAGGTAGGAAGGTCCAGCCCTGCTGACCACTGACAGCTGGCCCGAGGGCCAGGGAGCTCAAACCAGCCACCGAGATGCCACCTCGCCACAGGCTTTCCTCCTACTGTTGTAACTCTTCTTTGTGATAAAAGGAAGAGAAATGACTGTTTTCAGGGTATTCTCACTTAAAAGAAAATTGAGATAGTTGCAAAACTTATGAAATTTTATACTTTAAAATAATTTTGTCTATGTTTTTAAGAAACAAAAGAGTTCATGAGTGCAGGCAGCAGAGTAAAGTGTAGTGTTTTACAAACTATAGGGTCCAACCTAATCACTGCTTTCAAATACGGAAGAAGAGAACACAGTTGAAATATCGAAGTCCATCTCGGCAGATAGTATTTCATGAAAATTTTATTTCATACATGTGTATGAGTTTATGTAGATGCATATGCATATATATTCATATCCATACAAAGGAACTACTTCCAGAAAAATAGTACCATCCTACTTTCTATTTCAATTATAAAAATATTAAATTTAATTTTAATATGAGAAACAATCTAAATGAAGAATTTCTAAAGGTCACATAAAGTATTTTTTACCATTATTCTCTAAAAGTTAAAAAAAATAATTATAAAGAATACTAAAATGAGTCATTTTTAATTATAAATTTTCTTTTAGACACTGCCCATTGGCTCCCAACCCAGAAAGATAAAGAAATTAGAAGAGCTGGGTAGTGCCTGTGGCTCAAGGAGTAGGGCACCGGCCCCAATACTAGAGGTGGCAGGTTCAAACCCAGCCCCAGCCAAAAATTGCAAAAAAAAAAAAGAAGTGCTATATATGTTCCCATTTCCTTCCCCACTCCACCCATTTTTGATAGTTTGGGGTTCATCTTCCTTTAAATGTCCTGCCTCCCCCTCCCCTCCCTCTTTTTCCGTCCCTCTCTGGGCCCCCCCAACCCGCCTTCTCCTCCCTGCTCTCCACATATTTGCATTCTGCCTAACTTCTCCTTTTCACCTTGTGGAAACAGACATTCTACTGCAGTCTGAGTGTCGGCCAGACTTTGTTTTCTGATAGGAGGTGAGGGGTACGTCCCTGCTCACTGCATCTTAGGCCTACTGTTTTGTTTGTTTTTTTTTTCCATAAACCGCAGTGCAAGGCTGGCCCTCTGGGCTCCATGGCTATGCAAGGCTGGCCCTCTGTGCCCCATCCATCTTCATGCTGGTCCATCTTCGCACCCTGAAGGTGTGTGGAAGGAGGCAGCTCCCCATATGGGGGTGAGGCCGTGTCAGTCAACCCAGGCTGTGCTCCAACTTCTGAGGTTCTGTTGAGTGTCCATTCCATTTCCGGGATGGGAGGCAAGGTTAAGCTCTACTCCACCCCTGAGGTGTGTTCTCCCTTCACTCTCCTCCTTTTGAAACACTAAGCCATCTCTCTTTCTTGCTATTTGTGGCTATTGAGGTTTTTTGACTAAACTTTATGTGTTTATTTTGTCACGTATCAGGGAAGGAGCATTTATGATCCACTTGGGCCCCTCATTTTGTGTCTTTACAGAAAAATAATTTAAAACATAAAGGTCAGTGTTACTTAGGTTAGTTAATGATGTGATGCCAGTTGGAAGTGCTTTCTTATAAGTAAAAGAATTTATAAGCATTTACATGAATTTTTGTTCATTTACTAACTATAAAAACAACAGAACCTATTAGAGCACATGTGAAAATATGCATGGACTTAGTAAAGAACAAGATCAGATCAGGGAAGTGTGAACGTTGGCAGAAAACGACAAGGATCCCCCAGGTTGATTTCCCACTCAGTAAATTCCAACCAGCAGTCACTCAGCCTCCGTTTAAATTCCTAGAGTCAGTTCATTTTCTCCTAGAAGTAGAAGTTGCCTCTATGGTTGCCACACACAAGCGGCTTGAGGCTAAAGGCCTCTATTTATGGGAGCACCCGTCTGTCAATGAAGCTGTTACATTCCTTTCATAATTTCCACTGATCCTGCCTGGCTTTCTGTATCAACCATACGTCTCTTCTGTTCTCCACAGCAGCTCTTTAAACTTGAAGTGGGTTGAAAAAAACAGGCTGAGAAGTATTTGTTTAAGCCTTGGGTTATGTATACCAACACTTTTAATACTTCCATTTTAGTCATGTCTTATTGTATAGTGTCTGAGAGAAAAAGTCTTAATCAGTTTGACAAACGTAGCTAAATCTTGTTCAATTCTCTGCTTTTTAGCCTTAGGGATTCTGATTTCTCTTCTCATTTCCATATTTATACTCTAGTCCCCAACCTATTTAATCTTGTTTTGAAACAATTTGCAAAGTCAGAATTCCAGGTGAAAAGAGTTCAATAGAAAAACCCATTATTTAAATTCCACTGACAAGAATTTCATTATATTTTATTAAAATTCAAACTGCGTAAGACTCTGAACATAAAAACTATAAAAGCTAGATTTTCAGGGTAATTTTGTCATTACGGGCATTAAAATATTGAGCATAAAATAACAAATAAAGCAAACAGTTCCTTTTCTTCATACCAACTTGCTTTTCGTAACCTAAATTTAATTTGAATTTAGATTACCTTGCCCTCAAAAATAAAATCTCTTTACATTAATTGTTTGCTACCAGAATAATTTGCTCTGAGGGTCATAGTCACTTAAAAAGTGTGTGTGTGGCGGGGGGGTGGGGGGAACAGTCTAAACATGTTTTTAGATTCTGTAGGAAGTAACATTTTGAAAGCCTGCCCCATCCCTCTCTTGTTTACCCAGAAATCTGTCCTCTCAACATCCTACAATACAAATCAGGTTTTAAGGGCAAGCACAGGCTTCCCTCCAGCTCCATGTATCATTCCTCTAGTCGCTTTTCAATTTATTTTTCATTATAACATATTGCTGTCCTAACAGCCCCAATGATGAGAAGGCAGGCTTGTACCTTTCCAGCTTCTCACTTTATCACCGGGAATTTACAGCAGCCCAGCTGAGCAGCCAGTCTCTCATAATTGCTAGAGAAGAGTGAGGGGCGTGTGGTGGCCGAGAGGCTGCTGACATTTGATCAGCACATCCAGGGACCACACCCATTGGGGTTTCTATTAACCTTTCTTTTTTAACTTAATTTTTATTAAGTCATAACTGTGTACATTTATGGGGTACAATGCTATGATTTTATACACAATGTGGAATGCTTGAATCAAACTAATCAACATAACCATCACCTCGCTTACTTATTTTTGTGGTAAGACATTTATAATATACTCTTAGTTGTTTTGAAATGTAGCCTTGCATTGTGCACATTAGGTGAGATCCCACCAAATGCCCTCCCTTCACTCACCTTCCTCCTGCTTCTTTCTTTCTGGATTATCTTTGTGTTTTTATCACTTTTTATAATTCATATGGATATGTGTTTCTATATTGGTTTCATAATAGTGTTGAGTACCTTGGATGCCTATTTTCACATTCTTGAGATACTTTACTAAGAAGAATATGTTTCAGCTCCATCCAGGTAAATACAAAAGAAAAAGAAGATTTAAAGTCTCCCTCTTTTTATGGCTGCATAGTATTCCATGGTATACATATACCACAATTTGTTTATCCATTCATGGGTTGATGGGCATTTAGGCTGCTTCCATGACTTGGCAATTGTGAATTGGGCTGCACTAAATATTCTGGTACAAATGTCTTTGTTGTAAAATGATCATTGTTCATCTTAGTAGATACCTAGTAATGATATTGCAGGATCAAATGGTAGGTCAACTTTTGGTTTCTTGAGAATTATACATGCTTCTTTCCAAAAAGGTCATAGTTTTCAGTCCCACCAGCACCATAGAAGTGTTCCTTTCTCACCACCTCCACCCCAACATCTGCAGTTTGGGGATTTTGTGATGTGTGCTAAACTTATTGGTGTTGGGTGATATCTCAAAATGGTTTTGATTTGCATTTCTCTGATGATTAAAGATGATGAGGATTCTTCCATGTGTTTGTAGGCCATGCACCTGTCATCTTCAGAGAAGTTTCTGTTCAAGTCTCTTGCCCACAAAGAAATGGGGTTGTTTGTTTTTTTCTTATTGATTAGTTTGAGTTCTCTGTGGATTATAGTTATCAGATCTTTGTCAGAAACATAACCTGAAAAAATCTTCTCCCATTCTGAAGGCTATTTATTTGCTTCACTCACAGTTCCCTTAGCTGTGCAGATTTTTAGCTTTATCAGATCTCAGTAATATATTTTTGGTGTTGCTTCAATTGCCTGGGAGTTCCTCCTCATAAAATATTTTTCCCAGGCCAATATCTTCAAGTGTTTTCCCTGCACTCTCTTCTAGTATTCTTATAGTTTCATGTCTTAAGTTTGAATCTTTTATCCAGTGAGAATCTATTTTTGTTAGTGGTGAAAGGTGACAGTCCAGTTTCAGTCTTCTATAGGTCACCAGCCAGTTCTCCCAGCACCATTTGTTAAATAGAGAATCTTTCCCCGAATGAATGTTTTGTTAGGCTTATCAAAGATCAAATGATGATAAGTGGCTAGGTTCATCTCTAGATTCTCTATTCTATTCTGCATATCTGCCTCTCTGTTTTTTTGCCAGTACCATGCTGTTTGATCACTATAGATTTATAGTATTCTGAATTCTGGTATCATGGTGCCTCCTGATTTGTTTTTATTTCCTAATAATGTATTGGCTATTCAAGATTTTTTCTGATTCCATATAAAATAAAGTATTATTTTTTCTGAGATCTTTAAAGTATGACAGTGGAGCTTTAATAGGGATTCCATTAAAATTGTATATTGCTTTAAGTAGTATGGACATTTTAACAATGTTGATTCTTCCCATCCATGAGCATGGTATGTTTTTCCATTTGTTAATATCTTCAGCTATTTCTTTTCTCAGGGTTTTATAATTCTCATTATATAGATCTTTCACTTCCTTTGTTAGATAAACTACCAGGCATTTCATCTTCTTTGGCACCACTGAAAGAGGAATAGAGTCCTTCACTATTTTTTCAGTTTGACTATTGTTGGCATATATAAAAGCTACTGAT